CGTTAGTATATCACGTTCCGGTGGCTGGCTGCATGTGAGGGCAACGTACAGTTATCGTACAAGTAGCCAGCCATGCGCGCACGTAGCATAGCGGGAGGAAATGTAGCGCACGCTACATGTTTCGTCTTCTAAACATCAAATGAATAAATCAATGAAAGAAAGAGGGAATTGTAAATTTGTAGACGAACAATTCAACATCCAAATGTCCGCTAAAAATCATGTAGCGGTAAGAAATGATGCGTATACAACGAATTCCGTCTTCGCAAGCAGAAAATGATTAATGAATAAAAAAATTGAAAATTTGTAATAAATTTGTGATGATGTTAGGTTCAATTGATTGATAAAAAGTTTTTATATTTATTCAAAACAGTTTAGAATCGCGATCATAACTAGGTAGACTATTAAGCTACAGAGAGACTATTGAGAGGAGAGGAACTTCGCTCTGTCCTGCCGAGACAAATAAATGACACAAATAAATACCGTACACTTCGAAATGAACAATACAGAAAGATAATTCAATAATCCAAAATACAATTCATAGACACTTATTGAAGAGCACTAATCCATATTCACGCGTACCTGAGACTATAGCGTACTGCAGCCTATAATAGCTCAGAAGTGGCTGGTGGTAAGTTGCTGACCACACATCCCTTATGCTGGGTCCGAAAACATCAGGCTCAACATTAAAATGTGAATATAAATACAATAATAACTCTAAATAGTAAAACAAATTAATCAATAAACGGATAAAGACAATACATAACCGGACGGGAGCAACGAACTCGCTGCATTTATCGCTCGTATACCAAGTAAATTAAGTAAAGTAAGATAAATAAGGCTGAGCTCGCAATAACTGCTGTAATGGAGAACCTAGGAAATTGTAAAAAGTCATTCGTGAAGTAAGAAAAGAATATGGAATTTGATTCTTCGAATACATAAAATTAGAAAAAGTACCAACTCACAAAAAACGCGCATTTGACGTTAATGCCGCAGCATATAATTGAAACACTTATAGTACAGAGATATCCTAACGAGTAATCTGAGAGATCATATTATTGTGTAATAACTTGATAATCAATTCTCATCTAAATAAATACCATGACTCCATTGCTGTCTAAAATCGCATCCGTGCAGTTGTAGGGAAACTTCAATTATTGACGCGATTTGGTGGTCCGATCGAACTATATGCGGCTAGCGATCCTGCACTCTATTATACCGCAGGACAAAGTGCACAGCTTGCGCGCTATAATTATTATAGCAGTGCAACACCAGAACCTGGATCACACTTATTGATAGTGAGGGTATAAGTAAAGCATTTCTAATGATAGAGATGCTAGAGCGTAGCAAAAAAATAAAAAAAGGGAAACAATTGATTCAAATACAAAATATTCTGGTTAGAATGTGAATTAGTCGCCAGTAAATGAATAGAATATGCGTCCTATCTTTGAAATTCTTCCTAATAATAAACGCTAAAAATGTAGTACTTTGAATGATAGAGCTTTCAGAAAGAGATTTATAAAATCGGTCATCAGTTAAATATCTGCATCTTGTTTCAATTTTTGATCAGGCTTAGTACAGGAATTTACTGGAGAGATCAACTCGTTTACAATCTGGTGTAGGTACATTGGTAGCCAACTGAGACGGATGGAAAATGTATGAAAAGTTGACAATGCAAGGGAAAAAAATGAAATGCAAATGCAAGGAGGAAATGCAGAAAAATGCAAGGAGGTTACATTTGCTAAATGAGCCTCATACATAATTGTTGGATACAGGCCTGTAACCAGTGTTATTTTTAAATAATGCAAGAGTAAACAAAAGGCAGCATTATGCATTGAGCCATTCAACCAAGTTGATAATTCCCACCAATTTTCACCCATTTCCACCCAGGCTGGGTGCCGCAGTACCGCCATGAGGAGGCATATGCAACCTTTTCTTAAATATTTCACCGCCGAGCTACCCAAAAACATATTTTAAAACTAATTAAATTTGAAAATAACTACGACTATGGCGAATAGAATATGTAGAACCAAGTTAACATTTTAAATGATCTGAATTTCAAGAAGTCCCACATGGCGTAAATTAAAAAACCGGGAAATTTGAATTATGATAGAACTTATAAAGACTGAGGCATACATATGAATTTTCCAGTATCAACATCGTCATACGCACCAATAAAAATAGCCGATTACAGACGTAGAAGGTGCGTGACAATCATCCCTGCGCGTTCGTCGTATCGTTCACACCGGTAGAGACTTTCGCGCACGCCGGCGTATCACGCACGTCGACAGTGCGCAACCCGCAGCGCATTTTTGTGGCTCCAATAACCCGAAGAAAATAGTTTCTTGTGCGCGCTTTCTTTTGCTAGCCTCGAGATGTCGTTTTATGAGCGTTTCGTGCTGAAAATCTCTGATAGCCTCGCCACAGAGCGACGTGGTGAGGTATGCATTCTCATTAAGGAAAAATTTTTAGGCAAGGTTGAAGATGAAGAGCAGATTCCAGTGACAGAATATGTTATGAAGATTAGGCAGAGATTGAGAGAATATTTGGAGGTTGCCAACGACAACGAGACCAACGAGAAATCCAAACAAAAAGTATATTATGATCGGCGTAGTAGAGTCAGGAAATTCAAAATAGGGGATAAAGTTTTACTATTGTTGCCTACTTCTTCTAATAAATTATTGGCAGAGTGGAAGGGACCTTACGAAATTGTTAGGAAACTTAATAAAGTAGATTATGTCGTAAAGTTAGGAGATAGAGAGAAAGTGTACCATGTTAATATGTTGAAAATTTTTAGAGAAAGAAATAATTGTGTTAATTACGTGTCAATCAATGGGCAGGCTGAAGCTAAATTGTTGGACGATATCGCTGCAATTCCGGTCCGTGAAGTTGAGAGAGAACCGGTGTACAATTATGCAGACAATCTTCTGAGCAAACAGAAGGAAACGTTTAACCATATGCTTAACGGGCATGGCAATGTGTTCAAAAATATTCCTGGCAGAACTAACCTGATTCAATATGACATTAAGGTTGATCCTAATGTGAAACCGATTGCCCAACGTCCGTATAAAATTCCCTTTCATTTGCGTGACCAAGTTAAGGAAGAAATTGATATGTGGTTGCGAAATGGCATTATCAAACCGTCTTGTAGTCCATGGGCTTCACCTGTTGTCACTGTAATTAATAAGGATAAAAGTTTACGCATCTGTGTTGACTACAGGAAACTTGACAAACATGTAATGGTCGATCCATATCCAATGCCCAACTTAGATTCTGTTATAAACAAATTAGGGAAAGCGCGGTACATAACCAAGTTAGATTTAACCAAAGCATTCTTTCAGATTCCATTAACCGAAAGTGCATCAAAGTATACTTCATTTGTTTTGGATTGTGGACAGTATGAATTTTGTGTTGTACCATTTGGCATTAAATTTGCTAGTGCTGTGTGTAATAGAATTATACGAGGATTAATTGGAGACTTGAAATTCGTAGATTCATTTGTAGATGACATTGTAATTTTCAGCGAGACCTTTGAAGAACATGTTCAACAAGTAGACTTAGTCTTATCAAAATTTTCTGATGCTGGGTTAACGATTAATTTAAGCAAATGTTTGTTTGGAGCAGCCCAAACTAAATTTCTAGGATTCATTGTTGGAGCAGGCAAGGTATCTTCCGATCCTTCTAAACTTGAAGCTGTAAGTAAATTTCCAAAACCTAGAAACAAGAAAGATATGCGTTCATTTCTAGGATTAGTACAATTTTGTCATAGATTTGTGCCTAAACTTTCTGTTATGTGTGCACCATTATTTGACACGCTGCGTAAATGTTGTCCTGATGTTATCCATTGGACTTCAGAAAACGTAAATTGTTTCGAGGAAGTTAAGCAGGCGGTGATGGAATCAACTGTCTTGTCGATACCAAATCCGGAAGGAAAATTTATTTTGCAAACTGATGCTTGTGATATAGGAATTTCAGCTGTTCTGTTACAAAGCGTTGACGAGATCGAAACACCAATATGCTTTTTCAGTAGGAAACTGAGAGAAAACGAGGAAAAATTTGCCATTATTGAGAAAGAATGTTTAGCAATCTTGGTAGGAATAAATAAATTTAGGGATTATTTGTATGGAGCGCCATTTTTGATAAGAACAGACCATGCACCACTTCAATGGTTGAATGAAAACCAAAACGTTTCCAGCAGAAGGATGCGTTGGGCATTATCACTGCAGCCTTACGACTTCGAAATTGCTTACATCAAAGGGAAAGACAATGTTTTAGCAGACGTACTATCCAGATATCCTATCAGTTCAAATTGAATTGAACTTTTGAGAAAAGAGGGATGTGTAGGGATCTTAGCTGAATATTCAGGTGTACTTTGGGAAACAGATGGAGAATAAGAACCATAGTAACTAATGTGTGGGACGTAGAATAAGTTAAGGTGTTGACGATCCCGTAGCAGTGTAAGAATTCAGAGCTGACTTGTTGTGGGACCAAAGCAAGGACTAGTTTAGTGAATTCAGACAACTGCAGAGGTATGTGTAACTGTCGATATTTATCAATATTGTATTTATTTGGTGCGTTGATATTATGTGAGATATCTGGTAGGGAATTACCCGACTAATTGTAACTTCGATTTTGTTCATGTAGGGAGAAGTCAACCCGGATAGAAGATCACAAGAGGCTATCAAGAAGATTCAAGTGTTGTGCATATATAATTTGTTACTGTGATGTGAGAAACCTCTACTATGCTGTGCCCTAGCATATGAAAGAAGAGAGTTCTGTACCATATTACGATACCCATGTTCGCGTTAACTTGTTCGATTTCTTAATTTAAGTGTTCACTTTTCATTAATATTAAATTAATTGTGTTAACTCGAGATCATTATTTAACCTCGGCACGAAAGATCATTACATTAGGTAATGATATTACAACTTAACACTTGTATTACGTCGTAGTAGGTGATGAGGTACTCACCGGAGGTCATAGTAGGTGATCAGGTACTCACCGATGTTGAGATCATAGTAGGTGATGACGTACTCACCGATATTGAGGTCATAGTAGGTGATGAGGCACTCACCGATGTTGAGGTCATAGTAGGTGATGAGGCACTCACCGATGTTGAGGTCATAGTAGGTAATGAGGCACTCACCGATGTTGAGGTCATAGTAGGTGATGAGGCCGGTGATGAACTCGCAATAAAGCGTGTTGTGCGTGGCGTTGATGGTGCGCACGCACCAGTACGTGTTGTTCGCTGAGTTCAGACACGCACAGAACGGTCCACCTACACACACAAGGGTCAACCTCAGCGCGAAATTTGGTGGAAAAATGATTAGGTTCCGCAAATATCATTACTAGGTGACCTTCAACGCGTAAATCGCTGAAATGTAAGATTAAGTTCAGCACATATTCTTACAGCAAACTAGGTAATGTTCATGGTAGAACTAGTGATCCTGTTAGGTAGAATGTAGCTATGTTACATTCTACATAGAAATTGAGTTGCATTCTACACCAAACTAAACTAAATTCTACACCGAAATTGAGTAGTATTCTACACCAAACTAAACTGCATTCTACACCAAAATTGAGCTGCATTCTACACCAAACTAAACTACATTCTACAGCATTTAGTTAAAGTTTCATCACTAATAACATACTGTCCCAAAAAGGCGCAGTTTTCCAGTGGTTGTTGTCGTGAAGATAACAGTTCTGGCGGCTGAGGTTACAAGGACGTTCCTTGAGCTGGCGACGTTGTTTACGTTTCTTATCGCGACGTGCCTGACGTCGAGCTGTCCTTAGCTCCCGTAGACGTTGACGTTCAGCGATACGTCGCTGCTTCTGCTCCTGCTGGTGATGTTGTAGCGCCGCTCTGTGAGAATATATTACTTGAGAAAATTATTTTATAAAATAAAAGAATTAAATAATATCGCCCTATGAAGATACGTCTCGTGACAAATAATTTAATGTTAATGAAGATTACAGATAAAAAGCGCCGCTCTGTGTAAATATGTTATTAAAATATTTTATAAAAAAGAACAATAAAACAACATCGCCCTACAAAAATACGTCTCTTGACAAATAATTTAATGTTAATGAAGATTACAGATATAAAGCGCCGCCTCAAAAAACTATATTTCTTAAAAAAACAAATTTAATGACATTAAATAGAACAGTTAGATAACATCACCCTGGAAAATATATTTCTTGCAAAATAACTTAATGTTCCTAAAGATTCCTAGTAAAGACCGCTTCCGGTAAAAGTACATATCTTAAAAAAATATGTAAAGTTGTATATGTAAACACTAGGTACATATCATGAAAATAAATGAGAATATGAACAAAAATTTAATGATACTTGAGATTAGTTATATAGCTGCTTTTTTGACCTTGCATGAAAATGCTGTCGGTCCTCAACTCGATCCTCAGATGAAATATTTGTTCACAGATATTTTTTTGATAAATTTCTTACTCGGTTGCCTAGCCTGATTCTCATCTTATAGTTTAGCATTAATGAATTGAAGTTATTCAGTGCCACAATACTGAACATTGATATCTACTCTTATTTTATTCTTACAGATGCAATATCAATAACATACCAGGAAAATAATCTATTGTAATCAGGATAGCGCGCTAAAACAAAACGATTTTTCAAACACAGGAAATCGGAAATCCAAAGAACCCAGGAAATGGCTAAACATGCCTAAAGAACCTAGAACCACCCAGAACCACATTGAAGAACCAATAATTGACCAGAACAACTCCAAAGAACCTAGAACCATCCAAAACCACCTAGAAGAACCTAAAACAGCCCATAACCACATAGAAAAACCTAGAACCACCCAGAACCACCTAGAAGAACCTAAAACAGCCCAGAACCACATGAAGAACCTAAAACAGCCCAGAACCACCTAGAAGAACCTAAAACAGCCCAGAACAACCTAGAAGAACCTAAAACCGCCCAGAACCACCTAGAAGAACCTAAAACAGCCCAGAACCCCATAGAAGAACCTAAAACAGCACAGAACCACCTAGAAGAACCTAAAACAGCACAGAACCACCTAGAAGAACCGAAAACAGCCCAGAACCACCTAGAAGAACCTAAAACAGCCCAGAACCACATAGAACCACCCAGAACCACCTAGAAGAACCTAGAACGATCCAGAACCACCTAGAACCCCCCAGAACCACACGCACTTCTTGTTGCACCAGCAGACAGAACGCCTGCCGGGGACGTACACGGCCACTCTGCTGCCCTTGTTGCCGGTGTAGCCCCCTGGCCGGAGATGAATAAACAATTAATACTTAAACACACAAGCTTATAGTTTTATTACATTTTTAAATAAATGTTATCAATATATCATTATATTGTTCCGTACACGGCCACCCTGACCCCTGTATCCACCGGGCGGGAGGTTTATACACAATTTAATAATAAGAAAACAAGGTTATAGTCCTCTTATATATGGTAATATATTGGATTAATATATCATTGCATTATTTGCTGTCCAAATGATAGACTTGGATCTAAGGAATATTTTTACCTGGAACTTTCATCCTAAGAAATAATTTTGAAGAGCCATAGCAAATTTCTTATTCCCATAGCATATAATAGGTATATAATTACACAAACAGTTACTGTTAAACAGCAATTAATAATCATTCAATCCTGCAGTTTATTTACCAGCACTTGAGAAAGTTGCTTACAATATATAATGCAATCATTTTATCATTACAAAATAAAATGCAATCACCTGTATATGTAAAATGATTGGGGTCAACCACACTGCGATTAACTGCCTCCAAGCTGAGGTCATCAATAACCTCCCCACCATCACCATCATCACCACCATCATCATCATCATCTTCAGCAGCACCAAAATATTCACCACCACCTTCCTCATCGTCACCACGCAGCACGATTCTATAATGCTCTTCGTGTATGCGGTTGTTGCTACCGTGACTGATGCCAGGTCCGATACCGGGATTAGTACTGGGTCCGATACCGGAACTGATACCGGATCCAGACTCTGGCACGGTGGGCGCTTGCAAGAAATTCCTTCGACTTCCTCCATGTCCTCTCCTGCGAACTTTACTCGACTCGTTATTCAATTCGAAGTTGTTACCACCAAGAACATTGAAGTTGCCATTAAATTCATTGTAGTTGCCATTAAATTCATTGAAGTTGCCATTTAATTCATTGAAGTTACCGCCATTAAATTCATTTTGTTTGCCATTGGTATCAGAAATTGAATTTCTGCCAAAATCTGCAGCGTTGTCATGGCGTTGACCAGCCCGAGGTCTGGCCTCTCGCAGGTGTTGTCTGATGCTCTGCAAATAAAATAAATGTACTCAGATCTTATATCCCACATTAATAGTCACTATGGCAATATTGTTTAATATTTCCACCCTATAATAAAGAAAGATGCATGATATTACATAGATAATTTTAAATAAAAGACAAAAGACGCTTTCCTTCATGAAGTGCTTTTTTCTTCTAGAGACGATTTTCTTCAATGAAGCCCATTAGGAAATGATTGATTATTGAAATATCAAAAACATTTTCCTCCAATAAGCTGACAAAAAAATACCTTTGTATCAAAGAATAATATAATAACTAATCTCACCTTGAGAACTTTCATTTGCTGAGCCAGTCTCTGGATCTCTTCGTCGATGGCGTGTTTGCTGCTCTGCCACTCGTCGCGGCTGTGGTAAACCTGCGACGTGTTGTACAGCGGGCGGTAAGCCAGGGTCGTGTGGTACCCTAGTGTTGTGTGGTGCCTCCCTGTCATGTGGTGCCTCTCCGTCGTGTGGTGCCTCTCTGTTGTGTGGTACCCTAGGGCTGTGTGGTACATTTCCGTCGTAGTGTACGTATCCGATGGGCTGTACATCTCCGTGGGACGGAGCGTATCTGTGCCAGTTAGAAATGGATACATGAAACCATAGCACGAATACAGGTTTTACAGTACCTATTTATCCAAATGGTATTTAATTTAATTTAATAATTCGATAGCATAACCTGGGCTTCTATATAACCCTGATAGCAAAAACAAATTTGCACTGCAAAAAAAATCATCAAAATGAAAAGTGAACAGATAATTTAGGTTTTGTATGATACTCACTCCACTCACCCTGGCCGGGGTAATGAAAATACTCACCCCAATCACCTGTTAATAATCACAACTCACCCTGAGTGGAAGTAGTCGCGACGCTGCCGTTGTCGTTCGCGTCCTGGAATAAAGTGATTTATTTAATGCTCGTTTGGTCCATGTATGGGTCAACTTGACTCAGTTTGGCCTGAGAAGGGCATATTAGAACCATGCACACGAAGTTAATAACCATGCACAGAAAGTAGTGTCTCTATTTGGAACTTGACCTCTACATTTTTCTGAGAGTTGGACACGCGCTGGTCTCAGCTGGGAATCTAAAATTTCATGGACAGATTCCTCAAGAAAATACACGTATACAAATAAAAAATTAATGCTTCGTATTGCTAGAGTTCCTAAACATAAAAATAAAATTTCAAATCTGAATAAAACATCTGGAAGAAAATGTGCATTTATTCTACAAAGCTACAACTCTCAGATGGTAATAACTATTCTACTATTAGCCATCTCGTACTGAGCGGATAGGATAAACCAGCACATGGCATTTTTCAAGGGAAGTAAAGTAATAATTTCGTAGAATAAAAGTAATGGAAAGAAGCTCCACCTTGAGGTCATGTATCTGATGGAAGAGGTCGTGTATTTGACGATCAATATCCTTGAGCTCCTCCTCCTCGATATAAGCCAGCACCGAGTCCTGCGACCTCACAGGACTCCCTGTGCGGACCTCCTCTTCTGAGAGCACCACTCCTGACACCGCCTCCTCCTCGTCTGTGAGGACATCGCCGTCGTCGTCGAATATGTCCTCGTCGGTGAGGCCATCAGTTGGTTCGTTGAGGACACCGTCCAAGTCCAAGTCCTCGTCATCGTTATGGTCCCCGGCAGGCAGAACGCTCCGTGAGACTCTGCAAGAAGGCGAGCAAGATAATTTTTGATTGCATGAAACATTAGTCGAGGTTTTAATGAAGATTTTTTTGCTAATTCACTCAAAATTATAAGAGGTCTCATGCAACATGGCGCCTCCTGCTGCAGGAGTTACCTGCTCCTGCGCCTAGCCTCCTGCTGCAGGAGGTTCTCCAGGGCCACCTCGCGGCTGTCAACGTCAACGAACGCCTTCAAGAAGCGCGGGCTGAGCTCACTCATGTCTGCACATGTGGTAGAAATTAAGAAAAAAATTAACCATACTAACCCACTCAAAAAATAATAAACTACACAAAATTGCGACAACTCGCACAACAGAAATATATAATGCAATCGCCCACTTCTGGGCAATGACCCACTTTTGTGCAATGACCCACTTTTGAGCAATGACCCACTTTTGAGCAATGACCCACTTTTGAGCAATGACCCACTTATGAGCAATGACCCACTTTTGAGCAATGACCCACTATTGAGCAATGACCCACTTTTGAGCAATGACCTATTTCTGAGCAATGACCCACTTTTGAGCAATGACCCATTTCTGAGCAATGACCCACTTTTGAGCAATGACCCACTTTTGGGCAATGACCCACTTCTGAGAAATTACCCACTTTTGAGCTATGACCCACTTCTAGACACATGCCGCCTGAGGAAGTTTCGCTGCCGCCGTCGCTCCTGGGAGTCCAGACGTACGAGGTATCCCATGCCCAGCTCTGGCCCGCACACGCAGTTCGTGCGTCGAAACTGTACGTGCGTACGACACTTCTTCAGGCGCCATCTGTGGGAAATTTATTTTCATTTGTTATGTAATTAAGTTTATTAGTTTACATAGCATTTTTCTCATTTAGAAGTTTATATGAGTGATAAATAAGTTGATCGTTACGTGCTTCGGCACGCAAACGCAAATAGGTACAGGATGAATATAGTTTGCTGGATGATCATAGTTCGCTTGAAAGAATATTGTTTCTTAGATAATAGTAGGCCTGTATGATAATAGTTGGTCTGGATGACTGGCACTCGCCTGCGGCCGTCGTGGTGACAGCGCCATTTCTTGCCAGGGACGCAGGGCGCCCGCAGGTCAGGGTTACGGCACACCACCTCCAGGTGCTCGTGCTTGCTCGTGTACAGGGGCACTAGTGACCCCTCTGGGGGAGCAAAAGGCTCCTCTGGGGAGTCTAGTTCACCCATAGAAATGTCGGGGTCAGAGACGTCCCACTCAGCGGGTGATACGGGTGAAAATGAACCCGAGAAATTGGAGGAAAAGTCGGGAGGAGAGAAGCTCGAGGAGTTAGTATTGGATAAAAGTTGGGGGATAGAGTAAGAAGATATGGAGGAAGGGGACAAAGTCGGGGACAAAGAAGGGGACTTGTGCCGTGTTGATAATCGCGTGCTGTTGATACGCGCCTCGCGGTCCAACAGTCTGTTGATTTGTTGGTAGCGCTTTTGGGCCTTCATTTCCAGGACCTCTTCATCGCGGTGACGGCCCGAGCTGTTAAATATTATTGTATTATTTATTATTTTACCTTCAAAAAATATATTTACTGTATTATTCTGTGAACGATGAACATCGTTCACTAATATTCCTTATTCGATTGATGCGATCATTTGTTCTCATATGCATTTTTGTTCATTCTGGCGAAATTATTTTATTACGTCTGGCGAAGCTGCGCCAGTGACATGTGAGTCAGACCTACAGCAGTTGGAACTGTCTAGTACTAGGTCAGGTCTGAGCGTCTGTGCGTCAGGTAGTCAGTCGTGTCCCGCCAGCCCTTCAGTGAGGTTCATACCTGAACCCGCTCAGCTCTGTTAACTCTCAGCATTCTGTGCTTTAACGCTGGAGTTGTGGCTGTGCCGTGAGGATTTAGTCTTACCTGCTATCGATCGCCTATGTGAATAAATGTAGCCTTAACTACGTGCATTAATGTTGTGCAATAGTAAATGGAATTGAACCAATTTGAACGTCTCTTAGAATAGTGATTTTAGTCGGAATTTATGCTTGCCCTTTACCACGTTTTACTGATTTTAAACAAAGTGATTGAATAAACTATTTTAAGTGTGCTTTGTCGTGATTATATACCACAGCCACTGAACCGGCTTTAACTGACGATGACTAGGAGAGTTGAACGGCATTGTAGGTTAGATGAATGAGCACAGTAGCCTAGAATTTATTCACATATTGTCCTGGCCTATGAGCGATGAGCAGTCGATCCTGATAGTGAATTACAGGCCTAACGTTTAGATTGGCTTGTAGTAAGTAGCTCTGGCCGGTGACAATTCTACTTACTAACAACATAATAATGTATTTATCAACTCATAACCTTTTAAAATAACTCATCAAAAGCTGACAATTCCAATTGACAGATGCACGTGTTGAATAAGACCTTAAACTTACAAAGGGGAGTAAATGGTGAATGAAAGTGAAGGATGAATGGATGTAGATTATAGATGGAAGTGAGTGGTAAATGAAAGTGAATGGTAAATGAAAGTAAATGGTAAATGAAAGTGAATGGTGAATGAAAGTGAATGGTGAATGATAGATGAAAGTGAATGATAAATGAAATTTAGAGTGAATGGTAAATGGAAGTGAATGATAAATGGAAGCAAAGGATTACATGACTTTAATGCCAGAAGAGAGCAGCACCTCTCGACCAGGAATGAGTCCCGCCAGCGTGGGAGGGGCGGGCGCCCCCCACGCAGCAGCGGCAGGAGGGAGCGTCCGTCCATGTGGCGGGGGGCGGCGACCCCTCCGATGTCCAGGAACGTGGGCGCCAGGTCGATGTTGAGGGCGATGTGAGGGTACCTGAGGGTACCTTTATTGTGTTACGCTAACAATGATACGGTACCTGTCATGTAAAGTGGTAGCACATGTATACCATGGAACACTCGCAAGAAAAGTTCCTCCACTAGGTACTAGGTGTAAGGTAAGTCACCAAAGTAGGTCTAAAATAGTTTTTACCCTCTACCGCCGTATGTCACTCCCCGGGAACATAACTTTCAACTTAAATTATATGTATACTATTGAGTGTAGCAGCCTGAGGACGTTTGTACGCAACAGAGAACATTTTAAAGTTGTCGTACGTGGCGGCAACCATCAGTGCAAGTCATTTTGCGCTCACTAGAACGTATCCTTTTTTTGGGAAGTAGTCTTGTGACAATATTGCTCCGGTTACTCATTTCAGACGGTAAAGGGTTAGTGAAACAAAGGATCATGGGCCATACTTTCAAAACTCGCTAAGTGAACGTAAGTACTTACGCTCTATTTTCTTGTCTATGATTGGTGGATACTTTCAAAGCTCGCTAAGTGAACGTTAGTACTTACGCTCTATTTTCTTGTCTATGATTGGTGGATTTTGCTTGAAAGGCCGTCAATGATTGGTTGATGAACTTACTATCTCTTACCTTTTTTTGAAAGTATAGGCCCATATGAATAAGGTGTATTGATGCTGATCCTTGAATAGCCTTACTCACTCGGTACGTGGGGCGATGCCAGGGCCACGCATGAATAAGGGCACCTTAATATCGAACTCAAAGGGCTTTGTCCTTACTCACTCTGTGCGTGGAGCGATGCCAGGGCCACGCACGAATAAGGGCACCTTAATATCGAACTCAAAAGGCATGCTCTTGCCCTTAATGAGGCCGAACTGGCCGAGATGATAGCCGTGGTCCGACGTGAAGAATATGTAAGTGTTCTCCAGCTGCCCTAGCCGCCCCAGCTCTGATATAATCTGCCATATGCGATCAGGTATTACAAATAGCTGATATTAATTATAATGAATAATTAAAAACAATTATTGCAGTAATATTTATATGATATGATAATAGAAATGATAAAAATGGATTCCTTATTAATTAATAATTTAGTGAATATATGAACTCATTATGTCAAATATTCAGTTTGGCAATATAAATGGCTTATTATACTATTTCAATTATATCTTGATATTGTTTAGGACTTTAGGCCATATTTTTATCAACAATACATCGAAATGTGTAAACTTGAGCAAAAATGTACGTATAAATATATATATTCATCACTCTTCTCTGTACGGTCTGCAGCCCCACTCACCCTCTCTATGGCCAGCAGATGCCAGACGTCGGGGTGAGTGGGAGAGATACCGGTCCAGATGCCAGACGTCGGGGTGAGTGGGAGAGATACCGGTCCAGATGCCAGACGTCGGTCTGCAGACGTTTGGTCATGAGCAGGTTGGTAAACTTGAGTTTGATGGGCGACATGCGGCCGGTGTACTGCAGGATCCACTGCTTGTCGGGGTTAGGGGCGTAGTCGTACGAAACTGTGCTGCACGAACGGGACACGAACGTTAGTGCTGCACGAACGGGACACGAACGTTAGTGCTGCACGAACGGGACACGAACGTTAGTGCTGCACGAACGGTGCACGAACGTTAGTGCTGCACGAACGGGACACGAACGTTAGTGCTGCGCCAATTATAAATATAAATTGAAGATATAAACCTCCGGTGAATTTTAGCATAATGAATATTGATAGATAAAGAATAAATAGTGGAATTAATATACAAGAATCATTGTGAATTATTAATATTGATCGAAGATACAAGCCCCATTGCAGTTATATATATGAATAACTAGACAATTCCACGCACTGGTAGTTGATGATTCGCGATTTCAAGAATTATATCAATATGAATAATGAATAACGATATGACTTTTCAATTTCAAAAGAAAATTGAAAACCTAACAAAATACCAGACAGTAATTTGAGGTTAATTTCTAAATTATGAAAATGTTTCAGCAATACAAAAAGTATAAAAATTAAATACAGAAATATAACTTAAGAATTTTTTAAAATAGGAAAATTAATCTTTAGGTAAAAAATATAACTCAGTACTCACTGCAGTGAGTGACAGAGAGCGCATTTTCTCGTCGACGAAAACAAGAAGTCACGGACTGACAGACAGACGGACATGGCGAGCACAATAGTGAATTTTTTCATAAATGAGAAAATGCGTTAAAAAATAATGTAAATAATATAGATGAATAACTGAGGAGTTAGACGCACTGATGGTCGGTGGCGTTGAAGAAGAGGGTTGAGTGCTCAGGAGCGGCGTCCTCAGGGCCGTGAGGGGCGGGGTAACTGAGGACCATAAGCATGGGGGGCGGTCCTGGGGGAGCAGCTCCCCCTTCTGGGGGATCATGCCCTCTTCCCGTCCCCTCAGGGGAGGTGGGGAGTCGAGGGAAGCCGTGAGGACGCGCCATGTTTTCCCTCATGAACCTGATGCCCTCGTTGGTGATCACGTGAGGGAAGTAATCCTGAAGAAGTTAAGTATAATTTTAAAATAAAATTATATAGATATATAATTAAATTTTATATTCTTGTATTATCACTCAAAATGCAAGACAATATAATAATACGTCTCTATATCCAAGACTATATTATACTGCGACTTAGTACTAGAGAAAAGATAAGAAGCTTATAGAAAATATGGATACTTCCATGGAGAGACCAGGTCCATCGTATCGGAACTCGACGTGAAATTGCGACTAGCAACTCGACACGACCGGCGCAACTAGTACACTAGTAAAATACACCAGTACACTAGTACAACACACTAGTACACTAGTACAACACCAGTACACTATTACAACACCAGTACACTAGTACAACACTAGTACAACACTAGTACAACACTAGTACAACACTAGTAGGTACACTAGCACAACACCAGTACAGGGTACACTAGTACAACACCAATACACTAGTACAACACCAATACACTAGTACAACACCAATACACTAGTACAACACGCACCCTGGGATAAGAGTCGCCATGTCGCACACGTCGCGTGTTGCACATGACGGTGTAGTTGTAGTACAACACTAGTACACTAGTACACTAGTACAACACTAGTACACTAGTACAACACGCACCCTGGGGTAAGAGTCGCCATGTCGCACACGTCGCGTGTTGCACATGACGGTGTAGTTGTAGTAGCGAGAGTTGAGACGCAACCCCAGCCAGTCTCGCCACCCCGGCGGGGTGTACGGCCCCTTGTACTTGTTCAGGTACTTCCCGAAGTAACCTGTCGGGGGAGGGGGTAACTATTTATTACTTGCCAAAGCAACCTGTGGGGAGATGAAGTAATATGTTGCCTAGGTATGCAACCTGTGGGGAGATGAAGTAATATGATGCCTAAGCAACATGTGAGGAGGTGGAGGGGAGCTAACATGCTGCCGAAGTAACCAGATCTGTTACCAACAACCCGGTAAGCTGGAGGTTGGAAATGAGTAAACTCACGCTACTATAACCTGAGTACACACAGCACCTGTGTTGTAGTTCAAACTATTCAAAGTACACACCGCACATACAACCCACAAAGTACACAGCACCTGTGTTGTAGCCCGCATCGTGCAGATACGTTGCAAACGTACGACGTTCGTGCGTCTCTTGCCAGCGCGTCGAGGAGCAGTTGTCGTTATTGGTGTACACCTGCACACGTGTGCATTATTTTACACCTGTACACCTGTGTTATTTTACACCTGTACACATGTACGTTTCAATAAAAATATATCTCAATATAATATATATTTAGATATATCTCAGAATAGCTGCATATATTATCATGAATGACCCACCTCGAGCCTCTGGGTGACCCACTTTATGACTCGGTATGACCCACTTTATGACTCGGTATGACCCACTTTAAGACTCGGTATGACCCACTTTATGACTCGGTATGACCCACCTCGTGGTTGTGGATGTACATGCCGGTGAGCATGGAGGAGCGGGAGGGGCAGCACATGGGGGTGCTGGTGTACGAGTGGGGGAACAGCCCCCCGCCCTCCCGAAGCAGACGTTGCAGGCGAGGCATGTAGTTCAAAGAGCCTGGTAATATAGAAATAATATTTACATATGGATAATATACAATATCAATAACCATAGAAGTAATTCAAATATTACTATTATACATATAAAAAATATATATCAATGTCCATAACCCCATAGATAGTACCTACCTATATCAATATCCACATGCGAATGAATAATTTATCAATTTCCGTATCTACATCCATCATACATCAACTGAAAAAACTACGCTGCAAGGAAATTCGCTCCGAATTTCAATTAGACATCATTAGCGTCTCGAAAAAATGATTCAGGCGTTGGTTTCTGGATAGTCAATTGCCACTGTATTCTCCTTGAATTCGTTGAAAGGCATTATCACACGCCAGTGAAAACAGAATTATAGTGAATCATACATGAATAAAATAATCTAATGCTATACGCTACTTTAATAATCCTCAACATACAAATGAAATGCCACTCACCAAGTTCAACATCGAGGTCATCAGTGATGAAGACCACAATGTTAGGACGCCTGGTTGTTGAATTATCAGCTGTGTCCGGTAAACGATCGCTTTCCTCAATTTTTGATTCCGCATCGCCGTTCGCTGCCTCTTGAGATCGCAGGTCAAAAGAACCAACTGAAGACAACAAATCTTCATCGTTGTCACCACGAGTTCGGTTGTTGAAATTCATAATTCGGTTTCGTCTGCGGTGATCAGCAGAACTTGCCTGGTTTCTGCGCGAGTGCTGTCGACCTTTGACGATGTCAGATGAGGAGGTACCAGCAGAGTTCGTCGATGCCACGGAATTNAGTTTGTGTCACATACACACGATTATGACACAGTCACACGTTTGTGTCACATACACGCGATTATGACACAGTCACAAGCTTGTGTCACATACACGCGGTTATGACACGTGTGCAACATGAACACGTTCGAAGTAAAAGGGATGCGCTAAAAAAATAATAAATAAATCCTTTCTTTATAGGGTTCGAGGTCTTGAATTTTATATTCTTAGTGGACGAAAGATATCACTTTCATACAACACACAACACAGCAACACATATGAAAAAATATGCAAATCTGTGCAATACAAAAAAATATACAGAAGGCAGTGTAATAGGTGCAGATGGCGGTGACTCAAGCATCAGTCAGAAAAATTGTGTTATAATGTCCGAACAGTGACCCAGTTTCTTACCCACAGTATGTAAACAGAGCAGGCACTGATACGTCCTTTTTGCCGAGCCAAACTGGGTCAGGATGACACATACAAGGGGGCAAAAACTGAGTCGCTATTAGGACAAATCTCTTTCATTTTTCTGAGAGTCCGAAGTTTGCCGCTTTTAAGACGTCAAGAAATTCGGAGCAAAACAATCAAGCATGAATTAACTCAAAACTTGTTAAGTTTTCATTTTGATTTTTGAAAACTAAACTTTCAGTGACTAAAAAGGCGTTTCAATTTACATTCAGAAAAATATATGGCTCACATAATGCACAAATTTTCACACATAGCAGGAGCAGGGAGCGGACGTAGCACTGATACGCCTTATACCGGATTAAACTGGGCCAGGATGACCCACACAAGAGCAAAAGTGCTCACTATTTCTACATGTCTCACTCATTTCTCTGAGTGAAAGATGGGCGTAGGAATAAAAGTTGAGATAAGCATCTACGAGTAGACATATATTTTAGGAGTAGCTTTGCTCGAATATTGACAGGCGGCAAAACGAGACACAACTGCAACCATACAGGAGACGACACGCGCGACTACGTACTACGTAGACGATCATATAAGTGATCAGACAACCAATAATACAGGTGACCGACCAGACATGCAACCACACAGGCGACTACACAGGTGACCAGATATGCAGCCACACAGACGACTATACAGGTGACTAGATATGCAGCCACACAGACGACTACACAGGTGACCAGATATGCAACCACACAGGCAACTACCGCACAGATGACAACCGAAGCAACTACGCAGACAGCAAAACAGCAACTACACAGGCGACAACACAAGACACAAGGCGACAACACAACCATACAGACGTGAGTGCGAGATTACGTGTGTAGAGCGCGGGCGGCTTGCGTACATGGAAACGACTGATCAGCATACATGTACGATACAATTGGTCCATTTCTGCTATGCTTTTAATAACTGAATTACAAGCGTATATAATAACATTTAAATTACGTAAATTTTCATGTGGTTGGTCCAACAATTATTAATATCCAATTTACTTTCACCATAAGCATTTTTTCATTGATGCTGGAATTTAAACACCTTGCAAGCTCCTTATTTTGCCAGCCAAAAAAGCTCTGTTAAAACTGATGAATCGCAGCAATAATTCCAATAGGCCTCCCTACTCTTAGGCAGGTATACTGTACCAGCAGATATCGTAAAAGTCTTGACATGGCATAATATACCACACCGCATAATGGTTTGAATATTGAATGTTTCTAGCCATTATATTGACAAAAAAGGTAAAATATTCACTAACATTAAAACAGGCAAGCCTAATGATGAAAATTACGTAGTTCAGATCTATTCCGACGAAATAATAAAAAAGATTAGAACCTGGCATGCAGTTCACAGAAATAAAAAATTGTATCCAGTAATTTGTTTCAACATCACTACACATCTCACAATATTTTATGTAGGCATTGCAAGAAATAACTGCTGAGCCAGCAAATGTCTAGCAAGGCATTGACCATTCATGCCTCCACAGACATTGCTTTTGGTTCCAGTTGTATTATATATAAGTTTCAACTTCTTGCTGTATTTTCGACTTCTGGCTGTCTTAAGGTATGAGTCAGCCTGCTTCTTGCTAAGACAGGCAGTATTTTGAACAAGCAAGGGTGTGATTTTTGGTTAAATAGACCCGAATTTTTGTCAAGACAGACACCCTTTTACTTTTTACTTTAGTGGACCTGTCTTTTTGTTAAGACAGACTCCCTTTTTAACAAGCCAGGCTGTCTTCTGAAATGAATCACCCTTCCTTTTTCTAAGATGGGCAGCCTTTTAGTCAAGCCAGGATGTTTTATGGTTTAGTTGGCAAGCTTTTATTTCAAGACAGACATCCTTTAGAAGAATCCATGCTATCTTTGCTTATGTAAGCAGTCGTCTGGTCAAGGATGGCTTTTATATTTGTTCAATAAGCCTTATTTTGGCTAGTAAGGTAAAGAGAGGTAAGCCAAGCAGTCTTTTGTTTTGAAAGGCCAGGCAGCTCCTAAAATATGATGAAAACTGCAAAGTCTCATATTATTTGGTGAATTAAAAATTTTGTAACTTAATTGAATAGTTTTATCAACAACTAGACAAGAAGTTATTCCTCTACTCTCAATGACAAATTGTTGCAGAAGTTGTCACACAGTATATACCGGAGTTAACTTGTTACTTGTCAATAAAAATATATCTCAATATAATATATATTTAGATATATCTCAGAATAGCTGCATATATTATCATGAATGACCCACCTCGAGCCTCTGGGTGACCCACTTTATGACTCGGTATGACCCACTTTATGACTCGGTATGACCCACTTTATGACTCGGTATGACCCACCTCGTGGTTGTGGATGTACATGCCGGTGAGCATGGAGGAGCGGGAGGGGCAGCACATGGGGGTGCTGGTGTACGAGTGGGGGAACAGCCCCCCGCCCTCCCGAAGCAGACGTTGCAGGCGAGGCATGTAGTTCAAAGAGCCTGGTAATATAGAAATAATATTTACATATGGATAATATACAATATCAATAACCATAGAAGTAATTCAAATATTACTATTATACATATAAAAAATATATATCAATGTCCATAACCCCATAGATAGTACCTACCTATATCAATATCCACATGCGAATGAATAATTTATCAATTTCCGTATCTACATCCATCATACATCAACTGAAAAAACTACGCTGCAAGGAAATTCGCTCCGAATTTCAATTAGACATCATTAGCGTCTCGAAAAAATGATTCAGGCGTTGGTTTCTGGATAGTCAATTGCCACTGTATTCTCCTTGAATTCGTTGAAAGGCATTATCACACGCCAGTGAAAACAGAATTATAGTGAATCATACATGAATAAAATAATCTAATGCTATACGCTACTTTAATAATCCTCAACATACAAATGAAATGCCACTCACCAAGTTCAACATCGAGGTCATCAGTGATGAAGACCACAATGTTAGGACGCCTGGTTGTTGAATTATCAGCTGTGTCCGGTAAACGATCGCTTTCCTCAATTTTTGATTCCGCATCGCCGTTCGCTGCCTCTTGAGATCGCAGGTCAAAAGAACCAACTGAAGACAACAAATCTTCATCGTTGTCACCACGAGTTCGGTTGTTGAAATTCATAATTCGGTTTCGTCTGCGGTGATCAGCAGAACTTGCCTGGTTTCTGCGCGAGTGCTGTCGACCTTTGACGATGTCAGATGAGGAGGTACCAGCAGAGTTCGTCGATGCCACGGAATTATTGGTTGCTTCGAATGATCGAGCATTGCGTAACTGCGTCCCGTTGGATCGAACACTTTCTACAGGGGAGGAAAGGATGTCGCTAACGTTTACAGAGTCCATAAGTCTCATGGATTGACTGATTATTGGTTGAACTTGCGGGTAAACCGCGTGATTAGGTGACTCTTCCTCGGCTAATTCCGCTACTGTGTCCTCAATAACTTGCGATCGCAAAGACTCGGAGGGCGACGAGAGACTCCGCTGTCGGCTTTGGGTATGAGGTCGTCGCCAGTTGAAAGGAGTGATCGGTCGGTTCATAGTGTCCAAAACTCTGTAATAATGAGGAGTACTCAAGGTAGTGTTGAAGCTCAAACTAAAATGGTCCTTGCTTGCGTCAGGAAAGTTGTTACTACGAAGAGGAAGAGGAGCAGTGACGGAAGAGCTTTCTGCGGCAGTTGTTCCAACTTGATTCTCTTCAATGTTCTGGTCAAATGGGTTGAGTGACTTACTACCTTGTACGTAAGTAGATTTATGATCTGACGCGCCGGAATTACTTACAGTTGGACTAAACTGAGGACTCCCGAGCTTAGTTTTGGTTCCCGTACCCTCACTGAGTATTTCAGATCTCACAGTACCTTGTGCTCTGTCTTCGTGTCTTTCAGAAATTAAATCATCGCTTGAGTAGCCTGTTGGATATCTGCTGTAGTTAAAATCAGAGGAAACTGCATGATGTCGTTGAGATTGCCTAGCTGTGGCGCGCGAGTATTTATCAGAAGACGGCAATTTATCAAGTTCTGAGTGATGATCTCCGTTGTCAATGTCGTCAGGTTTTGCAAGCTCCCGCAATTCAGAACCACGTTGAGGTAAGGACATGCCGTTCATCATAGACGTACTGGCACTGTTGCTATAGGTTTCAAAGCGAATGGATGGCGTTAGCCGGTTGTATCTAGCTTTAACCGGCCTTACACTGCCAACGCGGTCTCCATTCCCTGAAGTGCTTGGCTCAACGACAGTAGTTTCGACAACCGCATTTTCTGTCTTGCCTACGCGGAGTTCATTAATTGGGCGTGTTAACGTAGTCTCCGTGCGTTCTGCAGCAGAGTCTTCGCGTTCAAACTTTCTGCTTTCGGGAGCCATGGATTGGCGTTGACGTCCCAAGTGTTCAACAAGCGGATATTCGCGTTCAATCCCTGTGTGTTCAAAAACTGAATGTTCACGCATACGTTCTCTATGTTCACCTGTCAAAAAGGAGCGGCTATTGGTGTTTCCGAAGAAGGTGCCACGCAAAGTCTCTGCAGCATCATGCGATCGGCCAGCGGGGCGTAACGAACGGGC